ACGGGCTGACGGGGCGCGTGGAGTTCAACAGCAAGGGGCAGGGCACGAACTACACCCTGCGCGTGCTGGAGAAAGCACCCGATGGGCACCGCGAGGTGAGACCCCCCCCCGGGACTCCTGAACCTCCCCAGGCTTCCCTGGACCCCTGAAACCACCCCTGGGGGCCCCCAGGCCCTCCCCCCACAGCCTGTGCCCCCCCCTCCACAGGTGGGCGTGTGGTACTCGAACCGGACGCTGGCCATGAATGCCACCTCGCTTGCCCTGGATGCCCCTGACACCCTGGCCAACAAGACCCTCGTTGTGACCACCATCCTGGTGAGCCCCAGGGGGGCGGGGAGCGGGGAGTTGGGCAGAGCAGGAGGCAAGTTCACAGCCTTGGGGCACTGTTGGTGGGAAGCTCACAGCCTCAGGTCGTTAGGGGAAAGCTTGCTACCTCAGGGCAGTGTTGGGGGGAGCTCACAGCCTCAGGGCACTGTTGTGAGGAAGCTCACAGCCCTGGGGCACTGTTAGTGGAAAGTTCACAACCCCAAGGCACCACTGCGGGGAAGCTCACAGCTTCAGGGAACTGCTAGGAGGAAGGTCACAATCCCAGGGCACTGCTGGGGGAAACTCGCAACCCCAGGGCACTTTTGGGGGGTAAGTTGACAACCCCAGAGCACTGTTTAGAGGAAGCTCACAGCCTCAGGGCACTGTCAGGGAGACGCTCACAATCCCAGGGCACCACTGGAGAGAAGCTTACAACCCCAGGGCACTGTTAGGGGGAAGCTCACAACCCCAGGACACTGTCCAAAGGAAGCTCGGGGCATTGTTGTGGGGAAGATTGCAGCCCCTTGGTCCTGTCAGGAGGAAGCTCACTCCCACCCCCCTGCCGGCAGGAGAACCCGTACGTGATGCGGCGGGCGGGCGCGGGCACCGAGTACGAGGGCTTCTGCGTGGACATGCTGCGTGAGCTCGCCGACATCCTCAAGTTCCGCTTCCGCATCCGCCTGGTGGAGGACGGGCTCTATGGCGCCCCCGAGCCCAACGGCTCCTGGACCGGCATGGTGGGCGAGCTCATCAACCGGGTAGGCCGCCCATGCGGTGGTGGGGCCAGAGTGGGACGCTGGGAGGGGGGGATGAGCCCCATGTAAGGAGTTAACAGGGTGGGTGGAGCCAATGGGGGGTGGTAGGAGTGGGCAGAGCTGGGGGTGCAGTGGGCCAGTAGGGGGCACTGGGGGATGGGCAGAGCTAGTAGAGGGGGGGCGGGGGCCCCATATAAGGAGCACAGGTTGGGTGGAACCAATAGGGGGTGGCAGGAGTGGGTGGAGCAGT